TCAAGAAACCTTGAAAACTTGTGTCGTCATCATTGGGAAGCCCACAATGTACCCTGTAAATGTGTCAGACTAGGTCTCTGCCATAAATAAAAGGATCTCAATAGCTGTTATAGTTTAGTTTAAAATGTTCCTGAAAGCCTCACGTGTTCAGAGATGGAGCTTTTGGAAAATTACTAGCATACGAGGTGCCATAGTGACTGATGTGGGGCCTGGTTGGAGGTGGGTCACAGGAGTGTGACTGGAAGGAAGGGTGTATTTTCATCCCTGGCTCCTCCCTTCTCTTTCTGCTTCCTGAACACCGTGATGTGAATGGCTTTTCTCTGGAGAAGACTCTTCACCATGACCTTGGGCTTAAAATGTGAACCAAAATAAATCTTTCCTCCTTTAATCTGTGGGTGTTGGGTATTATGTCTCGATGATGAGAAAAGTGAGTAACTAGTAAAATATTCCCCCAATAAAATGATATGATCCAACCCAAAAGGTATAACCAGTACTTCCAGATAGTAGCTTCCCTCATCCAGAATGCCCACTCCTACTCGCCCACTGCCCCGACAGTAGAGAACACAGAAGATGGAAGGGGCAGAGGATGAGGAAAGATGGAAAGACTCCAGTACACTCCCTTTTCCCACTGAAGGTCTCTGGAACAGTAGACCAGATCCGATGTGAGAAGTCCTAAACTGCATGGAAGAATAACATTTTAACTGTGCTGAGTTGTTTTCTTTTTTAAGAAAATATAATAAATGATGAGAAAGTAATAGGATCTGCAGAGGCCATGTTGAATGACAGGATGGTGTTACTTTGTGATTACTTAGTCTTCCTGGCCGCCTGGTTCCCTCCTTTCTCAGGAAATAGCCTCCAACACACAGGGATAGGTAAGATCTGAACCAAGTGACCCAGGCTCCCACGAGCAGGAGAGGACAAATGTGGCATGCTAGGGTCGGTGGTGTATCCTGGCAACCTGAATGAGGGGGCCTAGAGGTGCAGGGATGTTGGCATTATTACCAGTCACTGAGAGAAGCCTCTACTCACCTGTTGCTGGTCTCAGAAATGCTCTGCTTCTTGTTCTTTTGGGGACTTGACTGTTTAATTCTTCTTTCATAAGATTCTCTGGTGACCTTTCAGTAAATTTCTCACTTGCTTATGCTACTTGTACTCCAAGGCACTTTTTGTTTTTAAAACATCCATTCAACATTCAAAATTCTAATATGCTGTCACTTTGTGGCACCTGTTACATTTGATAGGTTGTAATCTCAAGTGTTGTTAACCACAGAGAACTGGCAACTATGGAGCTGGTGAGTGATTGCAGTGTTGGCAGTCCTGGCACTGATAAACATTAGAGATATTCCCTTGCATAACAGAGGATTTTTTTTTTCTGAGACAGGGTCTCACTATGCACTTCAGGCTGTCCTTGAGCTCACTTTGTAAATCAAGCTGGTCTTGAACTTGCAGTGATTCTCCTGCCTCAGTCTCCCAAATGCTGGGACTACAGGTGTGCGCCACCAGGCCTGGCAAACACAGGGTTTTCATTAGGTAAATTTGTACTTGTGTATGGAGACTATTTTTAGTTCAAAAGTTTAACAAGTAAAAGAGCAAAGTCATATTTTCCAAGACACAATGTCAATGGCACTATTATTAGATACATGCTAAGTCTAAAAGAGTTTAGTGTATACTTAGGTTAGTTTATCACTAAGCTTCATAAACCAGTATCTCATTGTACTGACTGAATTGAATGCACTGGATATTTTGAGGGCAATTGGTGCTTTCTATTTAATTCTCCTTGATAATCCGGAACATTAAAAAAGTTGAATTCAAAGTACACATATTCTGTTTTACAGGTCATACATTATTATGATATAATCTGATACAATGTGGTTATCAAGTTCTTATCAAAATAACTTTACATAAATGCTTCATCAGAGTATTAAAGTTTAGAAGTGCAATTTAACTTTTATTATGAAACCTCCTCATTATGGACTCTTCTTGGTCCTTTAAAAAGGTAGTTACAGATTTCCCAGAGTGAAAGGCATGCCACCCAGTGGATAGAAAGTAGTATTGCAGGAAATAAGTGGCTAAGATTGCATTTATGACACTAAATTTCAGGACATTGTCACTTGGGCTAGGGAGATGGATGAGCAAGCTGAGATTAAGGAGGGTTATAAGAGTTATTTTAACCTGGTGATTAATACTAGTGGCAGAACTGTAATGTTTGTACTAATAGAGATACATACCACGGAGGAAAGGATTTGTTCATTTATAGCCTGGTGTGATTTTGTGCTCCCCATCCCCTCCAAGGACATCTGGTTGGTTGTCATAGTCCATGTGAGAGTGCATATGTACTGTGTATATGTGCTGCTGGCCTGCAGTGCGAGGGATGTTGCTAAATACCGTATAATACACAAGACAAAAGCAGTAAGAACTGCTCAGCCCAAAATGTCAACAGTGCTACTACTGAGCAATCTGATTTATAAAAATTAATTTCACATTTTTCATTTGCACTTGCTTCCAATAGATTTAGTTAAAATCTTTTTCAGATGTTCAGTTTTTTATTTCTTAGTAAATGAAGTACATTTTGTAATTTGGATTTGTTTTGTGAGCAATAAGTATGTAATTTGGTTAACCACTTTTAGAAGTCAGGAAAAGTTTAGATTTCCACACATAGTTTTCTCAAATTTTGCCTTTCTTTCTTACCAATTTCTCTCATTCCCCATTTTCTTCTACTATATCCAATTTCATTAGACTAAATAATAATCTACGCACTGACCAGGGGCAAATACAATGAGGTAATTTAAAACTTGAATAGAAATTATCTTTTTTTTGAAATTACTATATAACTTCCCTTAGACTGAAAAAAATGCCTGTAGGCTAGGTCTAAGCAGATGTGACCAAGTTTATGTCTACAGTTTTGAAATGAAACAAATTTCCCATTACCTGTAAAGTCTGGCATGATAAATTCCCTTCTGTTGGAATTAATCTCTTTAAAGTGAGGCTTGATGTACCTTCTTGATGTACTTGTTGCCCTACTGGTGTTAACAATGAATTTAATTATGTCCTACAATGATACTGGCATAGACATATGTTTTAGAAATGAGGTAAAGATTACTCTTAAGTATTTTGTAAGTGAAAGGGTTTTGGCCCAGACAGGACACTGTAGCCAGGAAAGCCTCAACCGGAAGCAGGAAGCCCCTACCTCCCCTGCCCCTAGGAAGTTACCTATGATGCCATCTTCCCGCCCCTGGAAATTTACATATGGCGCCAAACCTAGGTCCAATGGGCTACCTGTGCATCTCTAATGCCCGCCTTAGGTTCCACCCCAAACCGAAGCTATTTACATGCCACCACGCCCACGTGTCCGCAGGAGAGATCGCAGGTCAGGTCGCCAGCGGTGAGGGGGTGCCGGTCATCTCTCTCCATGTTCTCAGAATAAAGGCCGCTTTTTATTTTATATTTGTCATCTTTTGGAAATATTTTTTATCTTTTGGAAATAATCCTAGCAGTAAGTCCAGGGATGAAACACGTACATTGTGAAATGTATAACTAATTTAAAACCTTTTAGGAAGTGATATCCAAGTTCTGCTCCTAAATTCAAATTCAGTAATTGCAAAGAAAAGGGAACCTATAAAAAGTATAGCGAGAACTGACTTAAACATCAAAGTATAAATAACTGCAGATGCTTTAGGTTTACCAGAGAGTGTGCTAGGGATCTTGTAGAAGTGCTGGCTTAGGAAACCACATATCACACTTATTAATTTTAATTTTTGTTTCTTGATAAGTACTGAAATGCAGAAATTTACTTTTTCCTACCTTTAAAGCACTTAGTGTTTAGGGGAGTGCCTCTGACATCTCATCTACCAGATACTTGATATGGATCAAGCAAAAACAAAAACAAACCAAAAATAACAAATAGTTAAGTATTCATACTCCTATGCAGCTATTAAACACCTAGCTTCTCCTCATGCATTTCCAGTTTTCCTACTGATATGGGCAGATCTGTTGACATGTCAAAATGTGCCAAACGCAATTTTGTTTCCTTACCCAAACCTACTTCTTACTTCCAGTTTTCTTTGTAACCTCAACTCTTGTATTCATTCCTCCTTCTTTGACAGACGCAGCTCTATTCGTTGCCTTTCCAGGTGGAGCAGAAAACCACCCTCTTCAGTTTGTAGCATCTCCACGTGGGTCTGTGCTCTCCGTCCTTGTCAGTCACTACTTTTTTTGGACCGGTGAATATACTCTAGTTTTTCCCATCTCTAGTCTCTTCTCACCAAGCTTTTCTTAACTTTGGTGTTTGCACCTCCATCGCCCTTTCACTTCCTAAAAATCAGCCTAGTTAAGCACAGTATTTGCATTTTAATCAGACGTACCGGAGCACAATGAAGTGTCTGATCAAGAATTTAAACCCAGGAGCCAAATAACTTGCTTTTACTGTCGTTTAAGGACATACCTTGTTTTCTGACCTCATTTCTCACTTTGTAGTCCAGCAAAACGCTGTACCTTCCTTCATTTCTCACCTCTTGAAAGTATCATATGTCACTTAGCTTTTAAAGTGTAGCTTTTCAGGAACCTTACTCTCCCCGGAATTACTTTCCTCTCTTGGGAACTGCCTTCATATCCACACTTCTCATGCTTTCTACAATTGTGTGCATTCCTTTAAAAAAAAAAAAAAAAACCTCCGGAAAGCGCAAATTTTAACGATAAGATACAATTTTTTAATTTTTTATATTTCCAGTAAGTCGCAATGTGACTTGCCCTGTGGTTGCTCAATAAAAGGTGAATGACATTAGTGCAGAGAAAGAAACCTGCCTGGTTTGTCTCTGCTCAGCTGCTAGTTCTCTGGGTCCCAGAACAGCGCACGCCGGGCTCCTAGAAGTTGCAAGACCTAAGTTTTGAGACCCAAAGGTCAGGCCGCCGGGAAAGCGCTCGCCCCGCCCCTTCCAACTGCCACGCCCCTCAGCGCGCGCGCGGTCCGGGAGGCAGGGCGCATGCGCAGGGCTGCAGCTCGCGCGACGAAGCGCGCGGCCGCGGCTGTCCCTTCCCCCACCCCTCCGCGCCGGAGGGACCCTATCGCCGCGGCGCGCTGCCGCCGTCGGTAGTCGCCATGGGCTCCTCGTGGGATGACCTGACGCTGGCCTTCTCTCACACGTCTATGTTCCCCTTTTTTGACATCGCCCACTACTTAGTGTCGGTGATGGCAATGAAGCGTCAGCCAGGTGAGTGCGAGTGCGGGGCTCCGCGGACTGGCGCCCTTTTCCGGTCTCCTGGCGAGGGCTGCCTTCTGCCCGCCAGCCTCCGCCGCAAGGTTCCGGGGACCTAGGCGAGGGGCGCCGAGACCCAGCTGGGTGGGCCCTGGAGTACAGACTGGGAAACTGAGGCCGGGTAGGGCAGAGGCCTCGGGATCCCTCCCGGGGGTGGCGACCTGGGGCCCCAGGCGAGGCGTGCGGGCGAGCGGTCGCTGTCGTTCCTGTCGCTGCCTGGTCCCCGGGTGCTGGAGGACCGCGCCGCCGTGGGAACCTCTGCCACCCACGCCTGCCCGCGGCTCTGGCCGTCTCCGGGCCGCACCGCCGCTGGCCCTAGTGGGAAGTCACCCCCCAAGCGCCCCGGATCACAGTCTCTGACTTGGTCCATTGGAGTAGATGGGAACGTGTGTGGGGCTTTGTAGCCGCCCGTGGGCACTGCAGCCTTCCACCCTAACGCTGTGTCCTGACACCGCGGATCGCAAGTTAGACAGAATTGCTTTCAAGGTCTCGAGTGACATTGCACAAGTCAGTCGTTTGGCGTAGTTTTGTAATCTGTGGAATGGGCATATGGGGCTTAATACAGTCTGTTGGATTCTTTTTGACATTGTGACCAAAGGACGATACTTGCGTTTTCTTGCGTCTTACATTTAGGTTTTGTTTGTTTTTACGTTGCTTTACTTTTTTGCAGTAATTCTACTGTCCTTTTGTATTTTATGAATCTCTTCTTTGAGGGCAAGGGTTTCTCTGCTTTCATATGTTCATGCTGCTTGTGATCCGCCTTGTTCTGCAGGTGGTTGATTAGTGAAAGTTTAAAAGTGGTGCTGTAACTCTCTAATGGACTACTGGTTTTCTAAATCCTTGGATCTTTGTCAAAAGTGTTCTTTACTTCATTGGAGTCTGTAAATCATTTTTTTGTGTAAATCATTTTTCTGATAGAGTCTTTAACCTGGAGAAAAGGACCATTACTATATTTAAATAGGGACGATAATTACATAGGTTACTGGTTCCCTGACTTTAAAAAAAAGTACGGTTTGTTTCTAGTCCCTATTCAAAATTTGACATTTTCTTGTATTGGCTAAATCGAAAGTTCTCCAAGTGTGGCCCAGGAACTCACAGGGTTCCGTGACTCTTTCTGGTTAAAATTATTTTCATAGTAGTTTCACACGTTATTTTTTTCGATTTTTTTTGATGCAGATTGAATGACTCATCTTTTCACATGTTTTCTCACAAGTGTACAGCTAAGTTTTGCGGAGGCTATATGCCTTGTGATAGAGTAAGAGCACATGCGAAAATCCATGTGCTTTCTATTTGAAGCAGACAGAAAAGAGATTTGCTACGGAGTACAACAGTGTGACTCTTCTCAGTAAACGTTTTTGGTGTGACAGTGTTGGCTATTTTCAGGTCCTCATCTCTTGTCATTTTTATGATCAGAAAATTTTTCATTTGTATTTCTCCTGGTTGCTAATGCGTATGTGCTTTTTTGGTTTTTTGGGCACTTGTATTTCATTCCATAAATTGCTTGTTATCATTTGCCCGTATTTCTATTGGGCTGTAGGTTGTATTATTTTATTGATACTCTTTGTGGATTATGGATATTGTATTTATATGTAGTAAAGCTGTCTTTTAAACTTTGTTTATGGCAGTAGTTTTAAATATTTCATGGTCAAGTCAATTTACCTTTTTTTAAATAGATAAATCTGTTAATTTTTTTCTTTTTTTCTCATTCCTGTAATTTGGGTATTGGGTTAGGATTGGGTTTTCAGTGTCCAGGGATATAAGAATATTTGTCTTTGTTCTCCTTTAAAAAAATCTATAGTTGCAAGAAGTGGGGTTTTCTTACGTTTACCTTTTCAAGCATTTTACTGTTTTAGTCTCAGTTTTTAAATGTTCTCTACCACTGCAGTCTCCACTTTCCTGCTATTTACAGCTTACCATTTGTAAGTAGTCTGTGCCTAGTTCTTAAAAAAATACTAGCAGAGGCCAAGAGGATAAAGAAGATTAGTTCTTTCTACCTGAGGTCTGGAGAAAAGTTGCATCTCATTAGTTTGCTTTAGCAAAGATATAAAAACATTAGTATATAAATTGGATTTTTGTTTTGTTTCATTTTTTGCTTAGATTATCTTTATTTGTCTTGTAATTACTCTAGTTCTTCCTAAATCATGGCACCTGATTATCTACAGGTGTTTAGTTGGGGCCAATAGTGTACGTTTTTTGTCCCTAATAAAAGTTAGAAGTTGGAGTTTGTCACTATAGTAACTGTTAGTGAGAACCCATTTGAACAGAAAATGTATATCATCAGCTTATTTGTTCTTTTTGTTTAAATCTTTATTAAAATAAAACATTGGATATTTACATCCAGTTGGTCTCTTCTATCATACTTCTGAAAATTTAATCTATAATTATTTCTGCTGTGAATCGTTTATTGTTTAAATTCTGCCACAGCAGTTTTTGCTAACCTCTCCTCAGGTCATATATAGTTTAGTTTAATTCCTGGTTGATGCTTGTAAATTTCCTGTTGCTAGTATTTAGAACCGTTAGGAAATGTCTACTCAGAGGTGTCCTCCAGGTGTAGCTGGTTTTGGGTTTTGAGTCTGTTGAAAGATCCTACCTCTTTAGTTTGTTGGAGTAGAAAAGTTGCTTCCTGCTTTGCTCAGCCCCTGGTTCTTTTTGCAAGGGTGCACAGTATTTTCTGTGGGGCTGGGGATTTAGTTCAGTGGCATAAGTGCCTGCCTTGTAAGCAGGCAGTCGTGAGTTCAATCCCTGGTACCGGTAAAAAGGAAAAAGAGAAAAAAAAATAAATAAAACAACAAACAAAAAAAAAACCCACAGTATTTTCTGTGACCCTGAGGCAGCCCCAGTCTTGGAATGCCAGGAAGAACTGTCACGGCTAGTGCAGTCCTTCATGTCCACTGTCCTTTCCATTGCTGCCTTTCCATTGCTGCATCTCTCCCTGGAGGCCTCTGGTGGTACCAGCAGTCAAGAAGTCTGCATGTTTGAACTGCTCCTGCCACGCAGTGAGTTCAGGGAAAGGGCTCTACGGTTACCTCCTTCTTCTAAGTTGAAGTTTCTGGTTCTCTCCCACCATGGCCTTCAATTCTTTTTTTTTTTTTTTTTTTTGGGCTTCAATTCTTGCTTCAGATCCTTTCTGGATCCAAGGGTACCCACTTCCTTTCTTCTTGTCTTTCTCCTATTGCTGTATTCCAGTGTCTGGACTGCAACTCTCAGAGAGGCTCTTTCTCTGCTGCTTACCCCTCTTCGAGCATCTTCCCAAAAGTCCCCAAGTCATATATAGTTTAATTAAGCAAATAGTTATTGAAATGCTACTATCCTATATTAAGCACTACTTTAAATGTTGATGATACCAAAGTGAAAGACAGTAGTATAGCCTAATGAAACCCAACTTCACTTTCTTTTTCCTTTTTTTGTAGTGTCTCAAAGTTGCACTATCCTTCTTAAACAATAACGTGATCATTGATTTCAGATACACGCAGAATATTTCAGTGTGATAGTTCTAATCCTCAAACGTTTCTGTAAAAGTTACTGAATCCATATAACAGTCTAGGTATAGTTTTAAGGGACTAAAATAACCTTCCTACATTGTACAATTTATTAAATTATAGAGGTAGTCTTGACTCCAAGTATGGTAAATTCCCAGGTTTCTCAACGATTCTGTGTTCTCTTTTTGCAGGTATATTTAATGTTCCTAATTTCTTTTTTTTTTTTTTTTTTTTTGTCTTTTTCCTTTTTACTGGTACCAGGGATCGAACTCACGGCTGCCTGCTTGCAAGGCAGGCGCTTATGCCGCTGAGCTAAATCCCCAGCCCCTCCTAATTTCTTAATATTTACATTTCTCAGTAAGAAATCATTTGACTTGATCATTTTCTCCCATAATTTCTGCCATTTCCATATCACAAACAATTTCTCCTTTGTCTTAGGAATTAAATGCAGGAACAGTTTGTCATTCTTTCTTCCTTTAATTTGTGTGAGACGAAAGAGTTAATGAATTAAAAATTTATCAGTTTGGCTACTCTATAAATTGCATATTTGTGCTCATTTTTCTATTGGGCTGTTGTTTTATTTTATCAGGGCAAATAAGTGCAGGTATGGTAGCACAACTTTGCAGTCTTTATGAATCCTCATGTGCAAATATACAGAAAGTTGCAAAAGTCATAAGTACACAGCTCAGTGAATTTTCAGAATGGTCACATTTGTTTAATCAATATCCGTATAAAAATAGAACACTCATGACATTCCAAAAGTCACTTTTGGTAAGTGATTTAAAAAAACAGAAAAGGTTCTATCCAGTGTGATATCAGAAATGACTACCTATAATTAATATTTCTGTGAGTTTAGAGAATTTTGTTTGAACAATTAGGGGGATTGAATTGAGGGCCTTCACACCGAGCTACATTCCTAGCCCTTTTAAAATTTTTTAAATTTTGAGACAGGTTCTCAATAAGTTGCTGGGCTGGAATTAACAGTTGTAGCTTCCCAAAGTGCTGGATTACAGATGTGTATCATCAGGCCTGACATACATACTAAAAAAAAAAAAAAAAAAAAAAAAAACCCAAAACTAAAGCAAGAATATTTGAGTGACATGACAACATGCTGGTCAGGGAATGCTGTGGAAAGATCTGAAAGTCAGGAGACCAGAGTCTAGTTCGCACTGGCTAGTGGACTAGGGGTAGGCTGATGTCAACTTTATCCTCAGTATTTTATTTGTATCATCAATAGATGTTTCCTCAGGGATCTCAGTTTTGTTTTGAAACAATTTTTCCTTGACGCTTTTAAATTTTAATAATTTGAGTTTCTTGTTTGTTCCCCTGGAGTAGAAATTGCTTTCTGTGTCTCATAACCTTTGTGATGACAGTATTTGCTTTTCTATCTTTGACTCACCTAATTAATAGTTTTATATCTATTTAGTTCTTTATATTAATAAAATACTGTTGTATTTTCTGTCTCCTGACTGGATT